TATAAAAATTTAGCTAACAGAAGCAATTTAAATACAGAACTTTATGAACGGATCCAAAACGCTGTGCTACTCAGAGGGTTTCCAACCATTTGTATACATGCAAGGAATCAATGCATAGATTTTTAGAAAATGGTCATGATTCTTTATAATTGCACTTAAATGTGAATAAAAATATGAAATATATCGGATGTTTAGTTACGAAGGTAACAGAGCAACGTTTTAAGCATTCTTCTTTTTATAACAAAAATCTGGCTTTAATCTGATACTTTCCCCACTTTCTGAGAGACTCTGGTGTAATCTCAAATAAATATTCCTGATTTTTCTAAAAGGGCTGATATGATAATAAAATAAATCTTCAATTTTTGACGGAAAGATAATCACATAACTAAAAATAATATAAGGGATGTTCGTGGATCCAAAATTTTGCTACAAGCGGATCAATTCTTTTATTATACTTTCAGAAATAAGGCATCTGTAGGCTAAATTTGGCAACCTTCAATTGAATAGCAGTAGAAAACTTTCTGACAAGCAAGCTGCAGTGAGCCTGTCATGGCGACCACTTCCTGCTAATGACCATCTCTGTGACCCTGCAGATGATATTTTATATAACCAGTATTTCTTAGAACATAAAATATGTCCGTTTAGAGAAATATTTTGCTACTGAACGGAATAAAATATTTTGCTTCAGAATGCAATTTATTCTGTTTGTCATTAGATGCGTAAGATTTTGGGTGTCTTGAGCTATCAAATGCAGTGTCCGACACTTAATTTTGGTATTCGTTTGTCATACTCATGATATAACAGAAATAATTAAACATAAATGAGTATAATTTCATGCGAAAGTTGTAGGACATGTATATCATTCTTTTATCCTTTTAAAATATTTTTTTAAACTTGCGTTTGGAAAAATAATTCGCTGATTGTTGTTCCATGTGGTTAAGTACAAACAATTTATGAAATTCTTTACAACTCCGAACATGCTATTACATCTCAGAACATATTAATTTTCCTTGAATGGATGTTACTTCCTTAAGATTCTCTGAAAAAGAACTCTGTTTGCAGCAGACCATACGCTGCAACGGGTCATTGATTTAGTCTGGACAGCGTTACTGTCTGTGAAGGCTATAACACAGCATGAAATATTTCTTGTGGTAAAAAAGTTGCTTTACCTGTAATTTGCTTTTATAATCTTTAATCTTCTTCATACTAAATTTTTGGGTCGTCTGGCATTTTTTGAATCAGCTACAAGTTTTCTTTAGATTATTGGTTTTAGTGAACCGAAGTTTCCAGACATGGAGCTCAGTTTGTAGCAGTTTTTAATACTTAGGTTAAAATAATAAAGTGGCAGTTTCAAACCACTGAAATTGTATCAGGTTATAGAGACATTAGGTATTTTTTGCAAGAAGGCAAGATGAAAAATGAGCAATCGTCTTCGCCGGGAATCGAACCACGGACCTCTGGAATACCAGCCCAGCGTGCAGAACCACTACACCACGAAGGCACGCTAGGAAATTGCGAGAAATACCTTATATACTCCTCCTTTTAAAGGGCGACTGGGGTTTTTTAGGAGACCCAATCGCCAAATCCTGGGTATGGAGAAACATCATCCAACATCCTTTTAGTTCGGGCTCCACATTGGGTATTTTTGGAAGCAGGCAAGATGAAAAATGAGCAAACGCCTTCGAACCACGGAGCTCTAAATTACGCGCTGAGCGTGCAGACCACCACACCATGAAGGCATGCCAAGAAAGCAGGAGAAATACCTTATAAGGTTTTACTTGATCTGGTAAAAAATTAATTGATCTAAAACCTCTAACAGATGTGAAGCGAATCATCACCATGTTTGTAAAAAATTACAAAGGCAAGGAAAGGTTTAATTAAACCTTTTTATTTAAATAGAATTTAGCAGATAAATACACTTTCTAGAACTAACAATATAAACTACAGCTCATGGTAATGCAACTAAACGGAACAGTCAAATTCAAATTAAAACGCAGAGCAGTAGTTACGGACTCCACAGTTTAAATTTTACATTTAGCTGGCTCAGTAATTCTAATCGGAGCATCAAAAGTTAATTTATCGGCAGGGAATAACGCAAAGCCAAAAATTACAAGCATCAAATTTGGTAGGAATTAAGCGTAACATGAACACGCAGGCCAGAAACACCCTCTGTCTTAAATCCAAAAATACCTCAGTTTAAAAAGTAGCTAAACTCATTTACATTCTGCTGAGGAAACTAAAAGAAAAAGTTATAGTAAAGACTGAAATTATTAATAGCTGATTAATTTAGATAATAACTTTACAACAGTTTTAAAAAATTCATTCTCATATTTACATAAATAGAACAGTTAATTTCATCTCAGAAACATACTAGTCATATTTTTGCTAATATTTTGTTTTTCGAAAGCTAATGCAAAATGCTTCAGTTTCTTCGCTGAATGTACAACTCCCAATTCATATTTTGTATTAAAACACACGACGCTTCTAAAAAACTACCGTTGTGTTTTTTATTTTGAAGTTAATAGCGTCTTGCATTTGCAAGTTACTAAAACTTTTCACATTTAAGTAATTTTACTTCAAGGAAGATTTGATGCTAAGAGTATTTTGAGAATGACAAGAGATTTGAAAGAATGCGGGCGCATCTCGACAAATGCTTTCGTGAGCTAAAATGATTTTAAATAAAATAAAAAGAATAAACTGCATAATCTGAATTCGTAATCTGATATATTAATATCTGCCTTATTAAGTGGGATTTTTGCAGACTTAGTACTTATTCAACTTAAAAGAAATAATCAAACTTTGATATTGATTCGCGAAACTTCAGAGTCCCAAACTGAGAAATAAATCTTCCAGAGCTCTGTTAGCAAGCAAATTTTCCAACGTGATTTTATTGCTGAAAAACAGGTATTTTTACTGAAATTACAAGACTATATTTAGTCCGAATAAAATCCGAGTTACAATATAAGGAGGAAATATTGCTGATAAACTATCAAGAAAATTACGTAAAAGTAAACATATATGTTTTAGTAAAGCATTCTCTCGTGAACTAAACTAACTGGAAAGTTCTCATAAGTGGCATAAATGGAATACTTTACCAGCATTTGAAGTAAGAGAAGCTTACACAACTTTCTGAAAAGCTGAACATCATTCATATTGCATTTGCTTATTACTTAGGACATTCAAGACTCTCCAAGGAAACATGAAGCTACGCTTTGTACTTTCCGGTTTTCGAAAGCATGTGACATATCCGCCGACCGATAAGTAAGATCATTAAACAACGGTAGTTCAACCCGTGCTCAAATTCCGACGAATAAGCTAAATGCATGAAAGACTTCGTGGATTTCAACATGAGTTACGTAAATACGAGCCAAGTTTCCCTTAAAACGTTCTCTGCGAAAGCATTCCTTTTCTTAGACATGTAGCCGTTGTAGATCTGTAGTCGTCTTAATCAATTAACCAGATCTAACCAGTTACAGCTATTTCGCCATATTTCATTTTGGCATATTAAAATTTCTTGTCGAGGTAAAAAAGTTTAGCAAGACTAGATAATAATGCTCAGTGGATGTAAGCATGCTTATTGAAATTTCTTGGCATTACAATAGACGAAAACTCCATTGTGTAGAACACGTTCAAGTATTAGAATAAAAACTTCAAAAATAGCCATCTCCATTAGAAGAATGAGGGGTTATGATTGGATCTTAAATCCTCATATGCAGATGCTATTGTTCAACACCATAATAGAGAAAATAGTCAGTTACGGAGCTGCTATCTGGACTGTTCTCCTATGACAGAAAAGAAGAAGCAATAGCTCCGTGCCATTTAAAGACCATTTTACCTCAACATAACAAAATCATTCGTATCACTTCTTAACTTCTAAAACTTCTTAACGTTGCATTGTGCGTACTGTGCAAAATACATGCTTTCTACGTTCTGTCGGGACTAGACGCATTTAAAATCAAAACATTACAGGTTATTAATCAAGTTTCCTTACATGTACTAACTTACGATCAGAATAACTTTGAATTCAGAATCTCTCAATATTCTCTGCACTCTGCAAATTCTCCTAAAATCAAAATTTATATGTACTTATTCAAGTTCGTACATATGTACTTTATGGAAATATGTGGAACTGAAGTACTACAAGTATTTTAAGAGCATAAACTACATTTTTTTTAATCCTTAGACTAATTGCACTATGCTGAATCAAATAATAATAAATTAAGAAGGTATAATTGGTTTTAATTTCAAATGAAGGAAATTTGGATGGTTAGGTCAAGTTAAGCTATCTGATTACGGCAAAGCCACGGAGGCTATCTATCTAAGAGGGATGCCTTTGTTAGGCCTTTCTGAGGAAAACAGGCTCACATTCATGTTGCAAATGGGAAAAATCACAAAAACCAATCATGCAGCGAGTCCGATTGTCTGTGTTCGAACTCAAGCCAGACCGAACTGCCAGTATTCGCTGCTTGGCCCACCAGCGGTCGAGCGGTAAATACCGCTACACATTGGTAGCTCGATCCGGAGTTCGATTCCCGTCAAAGAACTGGCTACATGGGCGTTTTTGTGTTTTACCGCTTGTGTAATGTAGATACAAGACAATTTCCCTTTAAAAGTCCTCCACGGGGAATCCATCCCTTCCCGTGTAGTACGTTAATGGCTTAATACGTAAAATTATAAAAGTCACTCAGCCACTGGTGGGCCAAAAGGAGCTTGGAACCCCGTCGAAAGAAAGAGAGAACCTTTTTTCTTCATTAATACATCAAGAAATAATTTATTATACCCAAATGAAGAAAGAAATCCTGCTTTATTTTTGCAATTGTATCTAATTGTTTTATACTGAAATAAAAATTAAAGCTTGTAGTAAATTAGTTTTTATAATTTATCTTTTTTTAGAACTAGTTCATTGAAAACTAAAATTATAACGTCAGTTTTATAGTTTAGTGATTTAGTATTCCTTTTCTCACTTTTTATTATATCTTCTTAATTTCTTTTCTCCTTAGGTGTGACATGGAAAGACAGAAAATGATGATGTTTCCTATACTTTGTTGGATTATTACGTTGCATTTTACTTTGGTAAGCACCAATTTTTATACTTCTTTGCTTTCTTTTCATTGTATGCTTTAACATACCTATGAAGTGTAGCAAAAATTGTCGTTGTATGTTATAAAACTGCGTTCCCATTTCTAAACACAATAATTTACTTTCAAGGGAAATATTCAACTCTGATACTTAACAAAAAAAGTACCTAATATGCATATATATACACAGAGGGAGAGAGAGAGCGGGTTCAAAATCATTGCCAGCACACTATTTCTTTTATACGCTTATGCACTTCGATACACCTCAAACGACCTGAAAGAATGTAATAGCTGTCATTGGACTACAGAAAAGGAATTTTGTTTTCTAAATAGGTTACTTTGAGGTTGAATAAAAGTCAATAAATCAGATTTTCCAGGTACTATAAAATGTAACAAATAGTATATCTTGCAACTGAAGAAAAGAAGAAACGACCCTTATTCTCAAGTTAATCTACGGTTAGACATGCTTATAGTTTAAAAAAAGAAAGTATATATAGCACTTTTCTGATGTGCGTCATAAAAAACGATGAAGTATTTTTGCACCGCGATAAATATTACTTTTTCAGAAGACTCTGTTATTATCTACTACGAGTAATATTAAATAAAAAGGGAGAAAAATTATATGTAAGCCGTTATGAAACAACTTAACGGTTGTTATCAAATATAAGAATCCCATGGTAGTTTTTTTATGATTCAGTATAGGAATATGCATAAAAAATCCTCAGGCTATAGAAACACCTATAAATATAACGATTATTTTAGTTATTATTTTTATACGGCTATTAATGTGAATCTTATTGCATTTAACATTATTTTTATTATTAGTATAATGATTAGCAAAGGAAGTGATTCAATTTCCATTCATCTTTTTGATTACTTTGTTTTAGAAGAACAGATGTACGAGACGCGGGGATTAATAAAACTTCTTTACTGTGCTGAAAATGGAATCATAAATATAAAATTAACGTTTTGAATGGTGAGGACTGTGCAGTAATTTATGTATTCGACGACATCTGCATAGATCTTTGTGAGATTAAAAATGCAATAACTGGCTGTGAATTTTGCATTAAACTGCACTTAGAGAAGAAAATGTTTATTACTTCTAGATAACTTCAGTACAATTCTATGATTTTTTATAATCACATAAATATTGTACGTAGCGTTAAATAATGCTTACGTCTAACTGTAACGGCTTAAGTCATAAAACACTAAACTCGAGTTACTGTTGGTGCTGTAAAGTTGCAGATCCCCCAAACTCAACTTCTAGAGCTGTTAAAATTATAAAAAGCAGCTGCAGAATGAAATTTCACTGACTTAAGCCAGCGAGATCCAAAATCCGTGCGTTCATTATTAAGTTATAACTGCGAGTATCACAGTGTTTTCCCCCTTTTATGAACTCAAGAGCGTTTGCCTTTATTAATCAACATTTTAAGAGCAGAAACATAATTCAAATTATAAAACATCAGAAAGTGTGTACGGATTTCTTACTTTATTCTTAAGCGGTAAACCGAGTTGTATATGTTATATATTGTTCACTACTTAAATGCGGCATTATATCGACTATAATGATATTTAATTAGAATATCCGCGTTTCTACAACTTTTAGATGTTCAGAGCATTCTAACACACGAGCACCATCTCCGTCGTATTAGTATATCCGCGTTTCTACAACTTTTAGATATTCAGAGCATTCTAACACACGAGCACCATCTCCGTCGTATTAGTATATCCGCGTTTCTACAACTTTTAGATGTTCAGAGCATTCTAACACACAAGCACCATCTCCGTCGTATTAGTATATCCGCGTTTCTACAACTTTTAGATGTTCAGAGCATTCTAACACACAAGCACCATCTCCGTCGTATTAGTAGATCCGCGTTTCTACAACTTTTAGATGTTCAGAGCATTCTAACACACAAGCACCATCTCCGTAGTATTAGTAGATCCGCGTTTCTACAACTTTTAGATGTTCAGAGCATTCTAACACAGGAGCACCAGCTCCGCCGTTTAATACAATCACCCTCGTTCTAATAATATTTAATCACAAGAAACGTCTAATCCCAATAAGCGGAAATTTTCAAATCCTTGAAAAATTAGAACAATTACTTCTCTTTGCGTTAAATGTGAGAGAAACTAAGTTTCTAATATTAAAAGTAAATACGTAAATACAAATTAAAAGTTTAACTACAGATGACGTATTAACCAAAAATAAAAGTAATGAGATTTTAAATAGTATTGCTCATTACGCGGTTGTTTAAAAAAATTTTATCTTAGATTTTAAGAACAGAATTTTCCAGGGTATAAGTGTTTCGGTAATTTTCAGCGTTTCGCACTTGCAGATCTAAAGATCCTTCAAAGAATCTGAAATGCGTTTAGTAATTTTGCACCTTTTTTACACATCAAGGTTATTTTCATCAGAATTTGCACCATTGCAAATTTCATCAATTTCTCCTTCCTTCCTTTCTTTAATCAAATCCATAAGATTTATCTGTTTTTTCCAGTGAGGTTTTTATTATATATAAATTTCATGTGATTTGAAATTACTTTAAAATTAAATCTAATTTCCCATAAGTTTCTTTCCACACTTTAGTGTTCCCTATATTCGACTAGCCTTCTTGAGAACATCCAAGTTTTATAAAACAGTTTTGACACGAGAAACGTTTTCAGTGAACCTTTTACTAATTTTTGAATTTTTATGTTACGTTATGTTGCGCTTCCATGCATTTATCATTCATACAATTTGGCAGCAGTTGCCGTTTCCGGAAATATAAGATGTTTATGTCTCACGCGTCTTTGCAAATAGTCATTTCTCAGGGTTTTGACATTCAATGAAGAGTGATATCCCTGACATATCTTTCAATTTTAATCATACTCTAATTAGTTAACAAACTAAGCTATTTAAAAATAACGTACGTTACACGAAACCAAAGGAACAATAAATTCGATAATTTAATTTAATATATCTCTGTTTCTTTTATATTGATTTTATCAATCATTATCACAATGACATATTTAATGGGAAATTATCCGCTCCTCAGTGGCCTCCCGATCTGCGTCTTTCATCTGTCCAAGCATTTTGGCACGAGCTATGCTATAGATTTCTTCCGGTTTCGTTAAACATTTTCCATTGCGAAAAAAATATCCTTTTACATTTTGGTGATTGCTTTGAAATTAGAGAATTTTTCTGCTTCCTGCCTTTAAATAATCCCACCAAAAATATCTGCACATTTTTAACCTCTCTTGTTTGCCCACAAATTTTTTTAATATTTCTTCAATTTTGCCTCTCTGTCTGATCATGTTACATAAAGCAGGTTCCAAATCTCAAATTCATATCTGCTTTTCCTTGGCAGCACTTGGAAACTGCATATAAGAAAAGCACTTCTTTTTAAACCTAAGCTCCTTAATTTAGACATTTTTACATTTTATACAATTTGCTGCACAGCCATTACACTGCAAGAGAGCAGTTATTTAGAACAATGCTTTCCAACCGCTGTGCAAGGACACAGTGGTGCGCCGCGAAAGACAGGAAGTGTGTAATGGTTTATGAACGACATTACCGAAAGGCTAGATTGAAAGTGATGAATGAATACCTTGATACAAATAAAATTTCATCGGCAAGTTACGTAAATATACGTACTGGTGCTGGGCTTGCAATGATAGGCAAGATAAGAAGCTTGGCGTTCTAAGTTCAGTCTAAAAATCTCGATGGTTAAATAATATATTGGCTTACCCATACAGCAATTCTCGCGTCAAATAATTTAATAATCAAAGTCTACATTTAATGGCATCATAAAAAGGTGAATGTGTTTGAAAGTAAACCACACAAACAGCTTTTTTAAATTTTACACAATGAAATGGGATCACAGCATCAATCTTTGGTGTTCATATGCTGAAGCTCCTGGCTGTCTAAAGAGAGACTTCTGTTCAGAAGTCGCGAGACGAAAGAATAATTAAAAGTGTGTTTTGCATTATATTCAGTTAAGCTGGAAACCAAACACTAGTTGAAAAGAAACAGGCTTACTTAGCCGGCGTATTTGAATGCCTAAATGAACTTAATCGAGAAATGCACTTGAAGGTCGCATTTGGAAATATATTATCTTACAATAACTAAATGACTCAAAAACAAAATTCAACTTCAATGATGTGATGAAAACAACTTCAATGATGTGATTCAATGATGTGATGAAAAAAGGGTTTCTTTGAAATATTTAGTTTGTGCCTGTATTTCGAACCCGGTGTTGTATTCGAAATCTGTGGATCAATACCTATACCTGCTTGAGAGAAAACTTCATCATCTTGAATAAACGTAGACACAGGAAGTCAGTTAGGTTCGAAACCAATTTGCATATTCATTAGATCATACAGCATTTGATTTGTGAGAAAGAAAACGGTAGAATTTTAAAAGTGATCTTAACCTTGAAGCTAGATTTAAGCACGTTACGTTACCTGAATTCTGGGCAACTACAGAAATGGAGTTTCCATTAATCGGTGAAAAGTCTGTAAAAGTTCTCATCTATGCAGCATAAGGCAGTATAATATGACTTACCTGAAAATTATGTCTAGCTGGAATGGCTATGCATCGTAATGTAAAAATAATTGAAGGAAGTATCTTATTAATTGAATATCTACTACAATGAAATAGGAAAAAAATTAACCATATGAATAGAAAAATGTTCCTTCACATTGTGTCGTGATGTTATTTATGTTTGTGAGGTGTGCCGTGAGATGAAAAAGACTAAAAACATTGATTTAGAAAAGTCATCCAGAGAGTTAGTTTGGCTCACACTTAGCCAACTAGCTATTATCCTCTACCAACTACCTATTAAGCACCGCAAACTGCCATGATCCTTGCTTCTAGCCCATTATATTTTTTTAACTCTCTTACTGCAATCAGCTCTAAAAACCCTCAATTCCTCCGACCTCGTCCCGTACCTTCCACATTGCAATTCACTGCAGTAGTAGAAAGATTAAAAAAAAAATTAGAGTGAAACATTT